AACAATACCTTTAACCCCATCAAACAACATCTGCCTATCCCAGGTCCTTGGGAAGGACTCGATAGGAGGATAAAAATGCCAAATCCAGTCTAAACATCTGGATGACTGTGTAGCCAACAACAATAATAATGATAATTGAAATGGCTGAAATCTCACTAACTTTGCCTTTCTTGTCTGAAATTTTAGCCAAATTTCATGAGAGAACACTAACAGGATGCAAGATTTCAGCCACTTTACAATGTTTTAAGTTAAAATTGTGGTGTTCCAGAGGTGCCATCTAATTCAAACCTGTGATTTAGAAGATTTTAAAACCAACTTGCAGGATACATTATCCTGCCAACATGGTGATTATTATTTAAGCATTGAAATAAAAACCTAGGATGTATATTATGTGTAGTTCCTTATGAAAGTATTATATACATCTACCTTTCATGGATATTTCAGAAAGAAAACTTCTATTAGCAAAAAAGTAATGCCTTGCTAAACTTTCCATAACAGATTAGACTAACTCTATCCTGCTGAAGGACCCATTTCAAAGTGTTCCTAAAAAGCAAAAACGCAAACTGAAGAAGCAAAGTAGTGCATCTGTGCTTATTTTCAGTCAATCATTAATTTTTAGTAAAGGATTAAACTCTTCCAAACTGAACTCACAGCCAAATCACTGGCCAAAATGCCTTGTAAAACGTACCATTGCAAACGGGGTTTGAATAAGGTTGTCGTCGGTCACTGAATACTCATGGCAGATTTTGAAGAAATTAAGCGTCTCAGCTATATTGTAAGTAATGGTACCTGATTTGAAGAAAAAGCAAATTAGGGTTAAATCCTCTTATATATGCGCCACCCAGCATGGGAGCAGACCAGCTGTTCTCCCATTTCTCTTCCCAATTGGGAAGAATTCCTGGGACTGCCCAGGAACTAAAAGAATGTGAAGAATTCCATGTACACAACAAAGCCTCATGGTCACTGCTTATGAGTTTAATATGTTCCTAACATTGATAACAAAAAACAGGGAAATGACATTAATGCTTATAGTTGGTAAAGTCATCCAGAACTCTGTGAAGCAATCCTTAGAGCAGCCTTTCCTCCTCCCAGTTGTAAAGTTCTCATCCTTATAAAGAAGGCCAGGTTAGAACTTCTTAGAGTTTGCTCAGGCTTTCTCAGTACTATAGCCAGCCCCTGGAATCCTACAAGCATCTCAGTATCTTACCTCGAGACGTCATTATGCAAACTCACTGAAACTCTTGGTTCAATCTGATAATTATCTGCAGTCTCATTCTCTTATTCCCATGTTTATGATAGAAGTCTAGTGTTTTTGAAGAACCTGGGCACTTTACAAGAACCAGTGTGGTGCAGTGGTTAAGGTGCTGGTCTAGGACCTGGGAGATCCATGTTCAAGGTCATCTTCAGCCATGGAAGCTCACTGGGTGACTCATGGCCAATCATTCTCTCACCCAACTTTGGCTAAAGGGCTGCTTTTGTGGGAAAAACTGGAGAAGGGTGCACTATGTACAAGACCTTAAGCTTCTCAGAAATATGGCTGCATAAAAATCCAAAAAATATATCCTAAACCTAAACACCAGCATGCAACCTGGATCACAGAACTCCAGAAATTGCTCTGGGCAGTGAAAGAAGATTTGCACTTCCAAGAGATGTGCGGAGAGAAGCTGTTGAGCTTCCCAGCTTCTCAGACCTGCTCTGCTCTGGGGCCTACCTATCTTCCTTCTTCTTTTGCCAGTTCAAGGTTATAAATGGGTGGATTGGGGAGAAGGAGAAAAAGTTTAGATCTGTAATGGAAACGCAGGCATTTGCTGCAATGTAAATGGAATTTCACAGGTTATATGCATTGTTGAAGTCACTTCTGTAATGAAGGTACAATGTAGAAAATGCCCATTGCAGCTCAATCCTATATATTTTGTCTAATGATTAAGTCCTACCAAATTATAGTGAAGTCATGTTTTTATAGACTTTAGATCCTTAAGAAACATCCTCTTCTTACCATTTCTTGTGGCAGGGTACTTTTGTTTCAGAAAATTCCTTAAAGGATTAATTTTGGTTGACATCTCAGGCACAGTGATATAAAAATCTGCCTCGATTTCCTCATTTAAAATCTGAAAGTCCATTAAAAAAAAAAGGAAGGAGAGAGATCATGATTTACCATTTTGGCTGTTATAATATATATGCAACACAAACCCTTATAAAAAAAAAATCTGATTTTCCCCCCCATGTTTCCTTTGCTACTAAATATAAGAACAATGGGCAGACATAAAACTGAAAGTATGTTAGATGCATTTTCCTTAAATACGACACAATCTCTTTGCAACTCTTTAAATTAAAATAACATAGAGTCAGAATTATCTGAAGTGAAATTAAGCATAATAATCTTTCAGCTCTTTTCTAGATGGACATTTCTTTTTTTGGTATCTCACTAGATCATTGTTTATCCATAGGGAAGGATCCCTGTGGAGATCCATATACTTGTTCTATGAAAAACATAATTTAACAATCAATATTTATGACCAGGGCCATAAATCGTAGACATTTCAAGAATGGTCTAGTTAATGAGATACAAAGAGGGTTTCCAGAAGATGATTACATTGTGGTCTGCAACAATACTGTGAAGTACCTAAACGGCTTTTTCCATTTGTTACTTTCCTGTGGTTTTTTTCACTGATTCTTCCTTTCCTTTCTCTTGTCAGAAGAAATCCACTTAGGGAATACTTAAATAGCCGATATACATTTTTTTGCCAGTCCTTCTAGGAATCCTTCATTCAGAAGTGTCCTAGGCAAATTCCTACAGGCACGGCTGCATTTTATTTTATTTATTTATTTATTTATTTATTAAACTTATCCCCGCCCATCTCCCCCCAATGGGGGA